TTCAATTAAACCTTAAATATCAGGCTTCATTTTTGTCAGATTTAAGCGTAGGTTTTCTTTGAAGCAAATGTCCGGCCTACTTCTTTGTTTTGTGAGAAGCTGGACGACCAAACTAAATCTTCTTTCTACTAAATATGTTAACGAGACCCAGATGAAGAGAAATTCCTTAGCTTTTATTACTATTAATTGTAATGAGATTTTATTTTATTTTGAATACACTTCGCCCCTGATCACCTAACCCTGAGGATTACCGTCCTGCTGAGAAGCCATATACAGGGTTTCCACTCAGTTTTTTAAAAAAAATTCAAGGACTTTTCAATGACTTTCAAGGACGTAAAATCACATTTTTCAAGGACCTATTCAGTATTACAATTATATGCTAAATTACATGTCAACTAGATTTTACAATTACGTAGAATCAGAAATTGTATATTTTTAAAGCACAATGCTTATTTGACAAAAAAAAATATTTTTTTTTTATTAAATTTATCATCTAATAATACAAATGGTTGATAGTTACATTGCTGCTTCAAATCACTTTAAAAAATTCCAATTGACTAAAAAAAAAAAAAAAAAAAAAAAAAAAAAAAAANAAAAAAAAAAAAAAAAAAATCCAATTGACATTGGATACTAGTCAACATTTAAAAACAAGCATCAGTGAAACTTTTCTTGAAAAATTTAATGAAGTGAATTAATGAAATGGAGTGAATGAATAATGCATATTACATTAAACAAGCATATTATAATTGATAAAGTTTGTGTAATTGCATGGTTATTAAAATATAAATAATTTTTTTTATATGTTAGATCAAATTTTAGGTTACAGGAAATTTATATAATTAGATAAAATATCAAAAAATATCTATTTTTATTTAACATATCTGTTTCAATTTTAACAACAAATTATCTATTTTGCTACTTCAGAAAATGAGTAATGTATTTTAAACATAATAAAATCTATAGTAGAACAATATTTTACAGAAAACTAAATAAGACTACCAAGCTCTATTTTCTTTAAAATATATCCATGAAATGAGAAGCATGATTTTTAAAATTTTGTGAATATGCATAATTTTCACTAAGCGTAATTTTTGAATCACATTTATACGAATCTAGATATACTATATGAAAATCAAAATTTTAAGAAAGGAGAAGTAAGTCTCAAAGATTACGTAAATCATGTATCACAATGTATGATATGTAAATTTAAATTGAATTGCTGTTTGCGTTTCTTAAATCGGAACAATATGAATAGCAAATGATACAAAACGCACTAACTAACAAGACGTAAATAAATCACAATGTGTGATACATAAATCACTTCAATATAAATTTTGTTGCGTGATTAGCTAATAGTTGTCATATGAATTGTGATCATTATGATGAAAATTGCAATTTGTGATTCGAAAGGTGCTGATTATAGAACAGCTATGTGTGATTCTTAAATCATTTTGATGAGAATTGCAAGTGGTAATTCTTAAATCTCTCTTTTGTGAATCGCAATTCGTAATTTGTAAACTACTAGAATGAAAATTGTGAGGCATGAACCTGAAATTACTTTAATATGTATCACGTTATATGATTCAGAAATAACTTTAATTGAAATCATGATGTGTGAATCCTGATGAGTAATTTGCAAATCACTTTAAAGTAACATTCGATATGTGATTCATTAATCACTTTCATTGAAATGGCAATTTGTAGAACTTTTCACATGAATTTTAATGTTCACATGAATTTTCAATTTTTAATGTTCACATGTTTCACATGAATTTCAACACTTTTTTTAGTCTCAATTAATCTGTAAATCAAGAATCAGTTTAATGTGAATCACGATGTTTATTCATAATCAATGAAGCCTGTAGAACTAAATTTTATTTATTAGCAGTAAAAACTAAATGTAAAAATTGGATTATAAATGATAAAAAACTAATTATCCTTTGTACGTAAATTAAAATAAAAAATAGGATAACAATATTAACCTGTTGTAATAACGAAGTTAACACATTGAACACATTTCTAAATCGATTAAACACTAAATATCATTCAAAAACTATGACTACAAAACGTAAAATTTGCTAGAAATTTCAGCTTTCAAAACACTTCAAGATGAACAATAATCTGGTGCGAAAAATCAGGAGAGAGAAGTTTTGCATCTTCTTTAACCCCTTTCCACTTCAAGCATTAAAAATTGCATCTATCAGAATTTCTACAAATTTTCTTTGAATTTATTTATTATTTTTTACTGCTTTTTTGTAAGAAAGATTAGTGTTATTTTAATTCATAAAAAATCAAGTACCTTTCAAGTACTCTATGGCAGAATGCAATGACTTTTCACGGCCATGATTTCTTTAAACAAAATTCAAGGACTTTCAAGTACTGTGGGAATCCTGATATACCCTCTTTAGGGCGGTCACCCCCAGGTTGGGAAACACTGGACAAGCTTATAGTCCAGTATAGAAAGATCTTTAAGTATATGAAGATTTTCAAATCTTGATTATACCGAGAATGAAAATTACAGCAACATAAAATAGAACCCCACTCGAATTATTTTAAGTGTGCACATTTTGGCCTATTATATCGGGCTCAAAATTAATTCCAGTGCACAAGTTAAAGGGTTAACAATAGCATCTTAAAATATATTAATCAAACATCAAAATATTTGCGAAATTTCAATATTGCGACGAAAAATTAACAATCATCTTAAGTAAAATATGAAATGAAATAAACAAAATGTAAATGGAAAATAGGAAATAAAAAATATTTTTATGAAATATGTAAAATGACTTGAAGTAAAATATGACATGAAAAAAAAAACTTCTTTAAAACAGTAAAAATGTCCCTAAAATTTTCATTTTTCTAGATTCTTATTTTCTTTCCTAGCGTTTTAACAAACATTTTCATTAAATCTGAGTATTTCCTGATGTGATTCTTTTAAGCAAATTAGAAATCTAAAGTTTCTCCCTGAAGTATTAACCAGGAAAAAGGAAGATCATTGACATATCTAGGCAAGGATCAATCCGGACTATTTTTTTCCTGTTTTTGTGAAATTATAGAAAACTACTCATTTTGTGAATCTAAGCTTAAGAGTTAATTGTATTTCATTCAGACAAAAGGTCCTGTTTTTGTAAATTTGTGAAAATAAGGTCCTGTTTTTAATTATATGAGGGGGAAAAAACAGTATCTTGCAATATTGCAGTAGCATTGCACAGTAGCAATATTGTTGTCCTTCAAGAAGTTGTAGTTTTTTAATCAGAAATAAATATAAAATACTTAATACTGTAAACGAAACATTCATAAAAGAGGTAAAAAAAATAGCATTCAATATCAGGATTACCACACAAATCTGAAGGGGAAAAAAATTCCTTGTGTTTTATCTTTAAATTTTGTACACAATATATCAAGAGAAAACACACAAAAACTATGCTCTTGTGTGAGCTATATTGGGCTAACTATAATTATTAGTTTCAATTGCTAGAAAGACTTAGGAACACAGGGTGGGTAGCCATATCTTTCAACAAAAAACAAGCACCTTTTAAGCACTCAAAAAATATTTATAAGAACTATGTACGTTAACAAAATGCAAAATAATTTTCAAAGACTTTACATGATCATGATAAAATAACTAGTTTCTGACCAAGAACTCTTTTCTTGATTAAATGGAAAATGATCAGGAGATTTTTCAGTTCGATATCAGAGGGTGGAAAATGAAGCCTGAAATTGAGAGTATATTGCAAAATGCAGCAGAGTTGCACATGAGAGTGCAATAATCTCACTGAACCCAGCTCAGTAGACCCATATGCAAACTTACAAGTATTTCATCAAACATGCAAAATGATTGGTGCTTTCATACGCTATGGACCGACAGTACGCTGAACTGGATTGTTGTTGAATGAATTGGGAAAATGTTGGGCAGAATAATGTAAAAAGCATGCTTTTTGCATTAAATGTGACAAAAATCGAGATGGTAAAAAATATATATATATCATTTTCGAAAAGGGAAAATTAGCACTTCTTGAAAAAAGCACCTTTAAAGGCTTTTAAAAAATGAAAATCGAAAATAAGCACTTTTTAAAAACACTTTGCACCATGGAACAGCTGAACATACTTAAACAATGCTATAGTAAATAAAATAATTTAGTATAGCTGAAATATCATCCTTAAATATCGCAAAGATGACACTTTGAGTGGTCATAATTTTTTAATAGAGAAAAATAAGATACTAAATTCCCCGTATTTTCCCAGTTTGTACAGAAAAAATCAAAATTCCCTGTTATTTTAGGGGATTTCTAAACTCCCTGTATTTTCCAGGTTTTTCCTATTTTCCCTGTGGAGTGGCAACCCTGAATAAGCACTTAAATAAAAGATACAAATTGCTACTACATTAGATTTTTTTGGAAAAAAAAATGGTACATAAAATTTTAAAATTAAAATGTTGAATCTCAAAAGATAAAAAATTATTACTTAATATTAAATAGTTAATAACATAAATTAGTTGATGGAAGATTTTAAAAAACTTAATTTTTGAGATCTTTAAATGGTATTGTAAATTTAAGAAAATAAATAAAATGAGATAATTTAACTAGCATTGGAGTTCAAGCAAAATAACATAAGGGAAAAAAATTAAGTTGGTATATTGCTCAGCAATTATTTACGTTTTTAAAATTGGTCAGTTTCTCAAAAGAAAAACATTGAAAACAGACTATTTATAAGATAAAATATTTTTAAAAGATCCATTTTCACAATAAAATATTCTGAAGAGATCTATTTTTACAATAAAATATTTTTTGAATGGTCAACTTTAGTCACATCAATAATTTTTATTTATTTATTTTTTGAAAAATCTGTTAATGGACCGAAATTTCTTATAAGTTTTTGTTTTTACTTCTATGTTAAAATAAATAAAGCAAGGAGAAATTAAACAATTTAATCAACACTTGAATAGTAAGAATCTTAAATTGAGATATTTAGTGAAAACTAAAAAAAACATACTTATAGGCTTTCCTTCCTTCCATAAAGTTTGTTTTATCGTACTCTTAGCTGCTTCTGCCTTTTTAAATTCTTGCTTCAATGCTCCACGGACATGTTGAGCACAAATAGCAGAAAACCTTAAGTATCTGAAAGAGTATTTTAAAACTTTTAAATTTTATTACAGTATACTCTCGATATCTAAGTTGATAGGGACACTAAAAACATTTCGAGATAAGTTCAGAGCTAAAAAAGTTCTATAAGAAGTAAGAAAAATAAGTTAGACAAAGTGAGAATAATAAGTAAGAAAAATATATTCTAAAATAGTACCTACTCTAAAAAGTAGAGTCATGCAACATAAGAAATTGTATTAAAATAATTATGTATGCAATGACAGTTGACTATAAGTCCAAATACAGCAATGATAATTTATAAAAGTAAAACAAAAGTAATTATGCATTACATAGAAAAGGATTGGTTTACAATAAACTTGCATAACGATTTTTCCGAAAAAAATCCATTTTTTATTTGTGAAATATTTGATATAACAAGGTTTTGAAATTAACATTAAGTGGATATGTAATGCCAAGGGGGAAAATATTTTTTTGACATAACAAGGTTTTTGAGATATAGAAGTTTGAGATATCGAGAGCATACAGTACTCAAAGTTTTTGTTGCCAAATGTTAATAATAATTACAGGGGTGTCTAGATTTTTATGAGAGGTACCCATTTTGTGAAAATTTAGACATAATTTGTGAAAAATAAAAATTATATTAAAAAATCAACACAAAAATATGGTAAAGTTCGATGATATTTTCAAACATTGTCACTACAAATAAAAAATCATTTATGACTGGAAATTTTTTTATATATTTTACCCCAAATATTCAAAAATGATTTTGCTATTGAAAAATTTTGGGCTTAAAATTCTATCCAAATTTAAAAATCATTGTCCATTGTAAAATTTCAACTTGAATTTGAAAAAAAAAAAAACATTCATAGTGCAGTGCTGTTAAGCACTTGCACTAAAAGTTATTTTCATTATGAGAGCATTTCCCACGGGGTCATATAGAAAAAAGTTTCACAGAAAAAAATATGTTTCATAAAAAAATAAAGGTCTGTTAGAATAAATTTAGAACAATGTTTGAGTGTATAGAATAATGTTCGAATTTCAGCTTCTTGTAAAGTTTACAGAAGGAGTGTTTCACCGTTTAAGTTTAAAAATATTTAAAAAAACTTTGTGAAAAAAAAAAAGCTCTCTAAAATATGACATAAGTCACCAGTTAGGCTTACCACACTATCTCACCTAGCACATGCGGCCTATTCATATATGTGAAATTAATCAGGGATTTATCGTTTTTTACAGGAATACAAAAACAAAATTTTAAGAAATGGAGAGGAGAATCTTAGTACTTGCTTTTTTTAAAGCATTTTGTGAAATTATCGTTTTTAATAAAGTTGAATTTGTGAAGGTACCGCTAAACGGTTGTAAAATTGCCATGCTCAGAACCTTGAATTATTATATTTTTTAAACACAAATTTTTAATTCTCTAACTGTATGTTATGTTTTATATAAAAATTTATAGGAATAATCCAAATTTTTAATGATGAAAAGTTAAGCACCAACAATGGTTATATGCACATATATATTAGGGGAGAGTGGCTCACCTTGGGAAATTTTTATTTTTGGTCTTAAATTTTAAATTATGTTTTAGTTCTTTTAGATTCAGATAAATGTCAGCATCATCCAACCTTGGAACATATTTTGATTCGATTGATTAAGCAGGTAAGAATTAAGATTTCTATTTTTGAAGCATGTTTACTTACTTTCATATAAAAGTTTAATTAGTTGTAGAAAGCAGGGTGTAAATGATTTTAATCAAATGATTAAAATCATTGATTAAAATCATGATTTAAATCAAATGATTTTTTTAAAAAAATCACTGATTTTAATCATATTTCCGAAATCGTCAAATAATTAGAGCTAAATACAATGAGTTTAAAGGTACTGGATTAATTCGGCCAACTGAAGTGCGCTGGAATTCTATGTGTGATTCATTAGAAAGCTACATCAAGAATTGGTCAACTTTCATGCAAGTTTGTGAGGATAAAAGGGATGATATCGACACCAATATCAGGTCAAAAGTCATGAATATGGCAATTAAAAGAAATGCAGAAGATATGCTTTTAATGTTAAAACCCATTTCTGTAGCATTAGATAAAATGCAAAAAGATAATTGTAGTTTATCAAATGTTGTCAACATCTGGAAAAATTTAAAGGAAACTCTGAAAGATTCTAATAATAATTGCTGCAAAAATTTTTTTACTAAACGATATGAACAAGCGTTAACACCAGCTCATTTCCTAGCTTACCTCTTGGATCCTAATTCTGAAGTACAATGTTTAACACTAAATGAAAAAGATCAAGCTGTAAACTTTGTTAAAGAAAAGTATGGAGAAACCTCCTTATTAAGTATTTTGCTAAAATTCATTGTACGCTCTCCTCCGTTTAATGGAACTTTGTTTGATAAAGAATCTCTAGAATCTTTAAACATCTTGGAATGGTGGAAATCAATTGCGCTTCTAAAGAACTGTGTAGGTCAAAAAGAGTTTGATGCAATACAGTTGTTATGTACTGCAAAAGGAACAACTGCAGGGATAGAGAGGATGTTTTCCACTTTTGGACTTGTACATACTAAACTACGGAATCAATTGGGTGTAGAAAAGGCAGCTAAATTAGTCCTTATGTTTAAATCTTTAAATAAAACTAATTAAATGATTGTTTAAATAATTTGATATTGTAGATGTAGAATTAATAATTATCACATATTGTTTGATAAACAATTTCTTTCTTGATTTGTAGTTTGAAATCACTTTGTTATTGTTTATTTCTTATTTCACCTTTTGCTTTTAAATTATTAAGAAATATTTTGTTGATAATGGTTAGTAATGTTTATTTCCAATGTATACCATAAGTAACAATAGTAATACAATACAACTTTAAATCTATGGTACACAAAATTGATTATATTCCATAGAATTGAAATTATAAAAAAATCATGATTAAAATTAAAAAAATCCGATTAAAATCAAAAAAATAAGATTTTTTTGATTTTTTAAAAAAAATCATGATTTTTATACACCCTGGTAGAAAGTAATTTTAATGAAACTATTTTTAACAAAGAATAATATAATGAAGTATAATGCTTTCCCTTTAGAAATTATCAAATTTAAATGTTCTAATGTTAAGCCTAAAAGTATGATATTTTAAAATTTTATACAAGTACAGTACAGTACCCGTTATCCGGAAATCAGAAAACCGGAAGACCAAAAAACCGGAACGAAATTCGATAAATTTTCCCGCCATTTTTTTTTTAAAAAAAAAAATATTTTTTTCCTCATAAGATTTTAGGATTTTTCTTTCTTTTTTGAAAGATGTTTACCTTACCATCATTTTGGAAATAATCATTAATGTATTACTTCATCGTTTTTTCTTCTTTTTAAGATTATGTCCAAATATTAATTTTTTTTAGTTGGATTTAACAATAAAAAAACGGCTTTTTGTAGCGATTCAGAAAACTGGAAAAATCAGTTATCCGGAATAGCGATAGTCCCAATCGTTCCGGATAATCGGTTCCCTACTGTATATATAGTGCACCTTGGGACAGATGGAGTTGGCCCACCTTGGGACACTAGATATACATAATTAATCCTTATTAAAAAAAGATTTTTAACAAAAAAATATTGTGCATGCAAAATATTTTTTAATCTATATAATCTGTGTTTATTAATAGTTATTATTTCTTATTTTAGGAACTCATTAGACTTAACAAATGACAAGAATTAGAAGCAAAAAGTATAAAAATAATATAGTAGTTCATGCTAACAATGTAGAAAAATCTGCTGCAAATTTTATCAGGGGAAATGACGTATAAAAAAACTGCAGAGTTCTACAGTATTAATAAGGCCACTCTGAACCGTCGTTTTATTTCCTTTAAAAAAGAGAGCAGCCAAATTCAAACTTTAAACATATTTTAAGTATACTGAGTAATTTATGCAATTAGTAATTTATGCAATTATAACAGTGATGAAGATACTTGCAACTTAGATGAAATGAACAGTGAAAGTGACAACAAATTATTGAACGATAAGATAGTGCATCTATACAAAAAAGTAGTGAGACAAGATTACATATTGGAGATTTGCTTATATCAAATCTGCTGGTAAAAGATCAGTTGTTGCCTTTGTAGGTTGGGTTGAAGGAGTTGATGAAGATGAGTAAGAGTTATCAGTTTTGAGAAGAGTGAATCAATCTGCAACATTTATTTATCCCGAAAAAGAAGACAAATCATATACAGATTCAAATGACATTTTGTTAAAACTTAAGCAGCGCAAAACTTTGAATGCTCTTAAGGTTTGGTATTTGATTCTGAACAATTGGATTTGCATAAAATTTTGACAATAATTGATCAAAATAAAAAAGTGTCCCAGTCCCAAGGTGAGTCACTCTCCCTAATATAAAAAATTAGGCTGAAAAAAATATCTTTTCCCAAATATTAACTCCTTATATAATAAAAATATTCCTTAAATATCTAATTTATAGTTTTAAAAATAAAAAATTCTTATATAATTTTTTAAAAAATCCTTCCTCCCAAAAAAATTGCAGTGGACAAAATTTAACTTAACTTTATTTTTCTTCTGTAAAAGCAAAATGAGAAATTCAAAAGAATTTTGAGTTCAATTGATTTAGGATTTAATTTTTTTTTATCAATTATTACAACTAAATAATTTTTAAATTACATTTTTTTTCTAATTATATATATTTTATATACATCTTTAAAGTAGACATCTGAAATACTTTAAATGGGGCCCAGGTTTTAGTAAATACGGATTCAGAATTCTTGGGTCTGGGAAGATTTCTATATCATGATCTATGCCAAAATACTCACCAACTTTTTGTGATTTCTGAGCAGTGATCTCAAAAATTTTTTTTAAAAAAATCCTAGAAGGGGGCCAATAGAAAAGGATAACTCGTAGTCACGGGGATATTTCGGCATCGTGATCTGTCACGCCAACTACAATCGCTAAGGTGCCAAATAGATTTCAAACTTACAATTTTTTTAAAAATAAACATGTAGATGTTTGTTCGGGGGTGGCTATGAGTTATACCTTATTAGTTGGCCCCTTTCTGTGAGGGTCTTTTTTAGTTTCTCGCGGGCCTCTGCCCGGAACTTGCCAAGATTTGGCAATAATTCTGCCACAGATCACGATATGGAAATCTCCCTGTAGTCACTCCCAGGCTAATCTCTGTATAGTTTATTCTACAAAAAATTTGCAAGTTTAAAATTCATTAGGCGCCTTGGTAATTGTAGTTGGCGCAAACAGATCAGGATGTGGAAATCATCCTCTTCCTGTCTTCCTTCTAAGTATCTGTAGTTTCCAAAATATAAAGGAATCGTTGGCGTAAAAGTCATAAATGTTACTATCAAATGTTATCTAAATTCACCAAATATTTAGTTTTCTCTAGTCTTCCTTTCCAAATATGTTGTGCATTAAAAGATTTTAAATTTTTAGTGATCAGGAATTACCCCTGGTCTTGATCATTTTTGGGGTAATTCCTGATCACTTCTGGGGTAATTACTGATCACCAGTTTTTATTGTAAAGGGGCTGTTTAAAAATAATTATATAATGGTAATTAACAAATAAGACATCAAGATCAAACAAATAAACCAAAAAGATATGTTTAAGCAGCTAATAAAACGATTTATTTAAAAGTAAGAAGAAAGATTAAAATTTTAAATTTTCAAAAATCTTTGCATCGTGCCATACATTTTAGGCAATCAGCCAACTCATTCTCATGTTCTGCTGAAATATAAGAGTTCCCACATGGGTTACGTTTGCTAGATTTTTTAACTTCATTAAGGGAAAGTGTAAAGTTAAGTAAGGTATGTCAACAGCTCTGGCAGCAGGTCTCACACTGAAATTTTCATTTTCAATCATCAAAAGAAATTCACTAATTTTGCTTTCTAGAAGCTTAGTATCCTTTTTAGGCTTATGATTTCTCACCATATTTATACTAAGCCAATTTATAAACTTAAAAATTATTCTAACGATGTACACACATAAAATTAAGATAGAAGCAAGGTAAGACAAACCAGAAATGGTGCAAATCAGAATACAGTCTTGTATACAGTTAAAAACAAATTTTGTTCAAAACAAAAGTTCCACTTAATAAATATGAACTGTTATTTAAGAAAAGACAATTAGCTATTTATAAGCTATTTTATATACTATTTATAAGAAGAAATAACAATGATCAGGAATTACCCCAGTGATCAATAATTACCCCCCATCTGTAGGGGACAACATTTGATATAGTTTCCTATAATCAATTATAATGTTTACAGTTGATGTGAAACAATTAAACAAAAGTTTACACTACTTTTATATCAAAGAAAAAGAAAGTAACTCAAAATATTTATTATTAAGAGAATGAGGGGGATCTTTGTAGAAATATGCACATTTTGAAGCCCATCTTTGAAATGGAAAGTACAGAAAGCAGTTTAAAAGATACTTATTTTGTTAGATTAAACAAAAAATTATTATTAAGTAAATGTAGTTATACTTTAGTAAAGTGTACAAGCATTCTTGTACATGTCTCAAATTATAAAAAAAATAATTTTTTTAAGATAAAACTTAGGTGATCATTATTTACCCCAGAAACAGAGTGATCCTGAATTACCCAGGGTCACCCTATTCCAACTTTCAAGTACTTGTTCACTTTTTAGTTTTGTTTTCCTCTCCTTATTAACAGAGCTAGATGAAAGTAGATCGGATGCATTTTTCCATCTCATTTCATTTACAGCAAAGTTATTGAGTAGCGGTAAAATGTTTATTATAAATATACGATTAGAGAAGTGCTCAACCTGATTTCGTTTGCATATGTTACTTATTGTGACAATGTATAAATTATTCATAGTTAAATATTAATGGTACACTGAATATTGAGTGCTGAATATAAGTATGATAAATGGTAAGCAGAATATGAGTAACTCAGGGTGACCTTTATGAAACTTAAGCTTGAAAATTCGATATCACTTACGAAAATCCGGCTTGTCTCCAGTAAGTCATTTTTAAAAGTTATACTTTAGCAAGATGGGAGATATTTTCTCCTGAACTTTTCAGTATATTTTATCTCTTCCAAAATTAATAAATGATAGCACACCGCACACTTCAGTAGAGTATGTAGAGGGTACGTGAATAAGTACGCGCTCAACTGATCAATTTGAATGAACTCACTAAAATTTTTAAGATATTTGTATACTCTATAAATTTTTTAAACTGAAGAAACTCATTGAACTGCTTTTAATTGTTGTATAAAACGATCATTGTTATGATATTTCGATATATTTATATCATATTGGTCTACTAAATGAATCGATTTCAAATTTTCAGAAACGATTTTCTCAGTTTCCTCGATTACTGAAGTTTCGTTCTTATAGTTCATTGTTAGTGCTCACTTATTCGCTTGTACAAATTTTATAAATTTTTCTGAGTTGAAAAAAATTTATTTCAGAGTTCTACTCAATCTAGTATTTTATCGTTTCTTTCTCTTCGTTTTTTAATGTAAACAAACATGTCTCTTGATGGAAAGGTCCAATTAAAATTTGAGTGTAACAGATATAATTGTGCCTAAAATCTTTGTTTAGGTCATCTTTATGAACTTAAATTTTCTCATATTTCATTTTTGAACTGAATTGTTTAAACTTTAGTGAAATAATTTTAAACTGACTTAAATGTAAATAGTCATACTTCGTTGCTATGTCAAAGAGAAACTAAATGTAATATTTTGTGATATTTGTGTTTATCATTACAGAAGTTTAAAATTTTTAGTTTAATACTTTCTGAATTCTTTTTTTAGATGTCAACAGTTATGACTACATGGTATGATAAGGAAACGGAAGGAAAAAATCCAGTGTGCTCTGATATTAATATTATTACGAAGTCATGCTGCCTGTCTGTGGAAAATGAAGATGACAAGTACTATAAACATGGTATTTTTCTTTTTTGCCATTTAAATTATATCAGAGCGTAAAATTTTCACTCGCCATAGCTGAATTTTTAGAGCTAGAGCGTGAGTTTTAATTCGTTAAATGTTGTTTCAAATAAAACTATATTTTTGCTTGAGTTGAGGGTTTGCATGAGCGCACCATAAATCAGGACGTAACATCTTTGATATTTTTCTTATTTTAATGATTTATGGATGATATTGGTATTATTAAAACCTTATGCGGGAAATTTCCTATCGTGATATGCAGCAGAATAATTTAAATTCAGTCTTGGCAGTGGCTTCCGGAGAAACTAAAGAAGAAAAGAAAGATACAATCCCAGAAGGTTGCATACTCAAAGGGTATGACTCACATTCATCACTGGAGATACCTGTACATGTTTATTTTTAAGAAAAATTTCAAGTTTAAAATTCATTTAGGACCATGGCAGTTGTAATTGGTCAAACAAATCACAATACGGAAATATCCTCACCTTAACTATTTTTAGAAGTTGTCATTTGTTGTACATTTTCTCTTTTCATCTCCTAATCAAACTAAAGTTTATAGTTTATGATTTTTTTTTCAATTGAAGAACAATAAATGATAGGTATATAGTAATTAACAAAAAAGAAAAAAAGTGAATAAATACGCTCTTCATTCCTGTAAGAATTATTGCATTTCAGTTCTTTCAAGCATAAGGAATAAAATTATGAAATTAAATAAATATATTTCATACATTATGTTACTTAATATAATAAATAAAATCTATAAATCCTAGCTTAGAGTTACCCAATAAGTTACACACATAGTTTTAAATTGGGAAAAGCAGTTTTTTTTTTCTTCTTCTCCAGAATCTAAAAGCAGTTTTTTTTCCATAGGAGTAGAAGCTTTACAACAACTTTAACACATTGGATATTATTCTTCAGAAAGATATCATCTCTTCACAACTAAATATGGATCAAATAAGGAGTTATGTATTATTCATATTTAGGAAAAGTTTTGTATGATAAGCTTATTAAAATAAGTTACTTAAAACGGTGAATAAATCTTTGCATTTCAAAAATAAATTTGTGATACAATTTTCCTCAATAAGATTTTACTTTTATAACACCAAATACTTAAAATTATGATTAGGAATGCGAATTTAAAGGGGATTAAACTGTAACTGTTCTCAAATAAAGAAAACTTAAAAATTATGATTTACATGAGCAATTGAATGAGTTTTTCTTCATAGTAAATAATGAATTAATTATTGACAATGTAAGCTAAATTTATGTGTATCTTAAATATTCATAATTTTCTAAAACTTTGAAGAAATACATGACCATTGAATTTGCAATAAAATTGATGAATACCGAGGTATTTATGAATTTCGGGTATTTACCCCAATTTACAAAAACTAGGTATTTTAAGGCAGGATTCATAAAAATTGAACGGAATTTGTTTTAAATCCTAGTAGCACCTAATTCTATTGCCAAGCACCCCTTAGCAGTTCAATGTAATGTTAAAAAAAATATTGTTAAGTGTTCTATTGTGTTTAGCCTTTTTTTTCTGTTGTTGTAATTTTAATTATATTTTGTGATCAACTGTGTAACTTTATTGCATTACTTTCAGCTGATGAAATTTCTCAAGAGATTGATACTGAGCTTGGTTTATCAGAAAACCACTTTTCACGTCCAGAGGTAATATTTATTTAAGATTTCCATTTCAAGACTTGAACCAAAATGATTGCCAAGTTTTGACAGGAATTGGGCAAGTAATGTCTTAAAAACTGTATACACACATTGGCTCTGTGGCAGAATTTTTTCGAATACTAACACCTTTCTGAGAGACATTTTTAATAGTAGCAAATATATATGTTACTAATTTTTAAGTAACAGTAGCACTTTCTGTTTACAAAAAAAAAAAAAAAAAAACTAAAAAAAATCTNAAAAAAAAAAAAAAAAAACATCATGTATAGAACAAAACAGTATATATATTTTTGAATTATAAATGTAAGAATTGTTTAAAAATCTAAATATAAAAGAATGTATATTCTAATATTTCATATATTTAATTTTAATATATTCATTCTAATAAGTTTCGTAAACCTTGAGTTAATATTTAAGGAAATTTTTTTACCTTATGTTTCTTTTTGCGATAAGGTTATAAATATTCAATGGAATTAAACAAAATTTTTGGAGCAATTTAAAATTAATTACAAAATTGTTGATTTAAAGTTATAAAAATATTCATTAAAAACAGCGCAAGATATAAGTATTTAAGGCAGTCATTTTATGGTGTACATGCATGGAAAAAATTTAGAAAAGTTGTATATGGCAACTAATGAGTAAAAGTTTGTTTTGAATATCTTATAAATTAAAAAAATTTCAAGCAATTTTTCACGTAGTTTTTGTACTTTTCAAAAGAAAGCTCAAAACGATCAGGGATATCCTATATTTTTTATTCAATTATAGTAATTTCTTACAGATGCATTACATAACCAATTAGAATTATAATAAGTCCAGATAATGTAAGCGTAAGCAACAAGAGAGATAACGTAAAGCATGAGACAAACTACTGTAAAAAAAAATAAATAAAAAAATAAACAGATTAATATGTTTGTTATCAGATTGTGTGATATTGCGTGACAAAATTCTTTTCTATAGTTTGTGTCAATAAAACAGATTAAGTGGTAGTAAAATGCATATTATCATCCAACTATTTTTGTAGAGAATATATTTTTTTTGTGACAATAACATAATGTTGCTTCTGGTTTATCCTTATATTACTGCTTTAGTCTAAGAAGTTATCAATAATTGACCTAACCTGTTCTATTTCTTTTCCATTCATTTCTTAATTACTCTTCCCCAACTGAAAATTGGCTCTTGATTTGAATTTGAATTTTACAAAATAATTCAGCTCACAGTATTTTGATTTGAAGTTTATTTGCGAGAAAAGAACAATCAAAATATTTTTTCCTTTTGCAAAGAATTTCGAAAATTGACGAATACTTTTGATATTTGGCTAATTTACTGGCTAATAATTTGACATGCAGGCTCTGCGTATCTATATACATATATATGTATCTATACAATATGAACATTTGACGATAGGGACAAAATTATTTACTAATATGCATATCCTGATTAATGTTTTCTTTTTTTAAAAAAAAAGCTTAAAAGGTGTTTCTTTTGGTGATCAATTTGGCTGTCTACCCCGTTCAAGAAATTATATTTAAATTCTTTTTATTTCAGGGCTATTTCTGTTTCACAACTACTGAAGAACTAGAAATGGCTATTGAACGCTGTAAAGATATGATTAGGGTGATAGCAGTTGATAATGGAGAGAAAAGTAAAGATAGAAAAAAATACTTGGTAGCCAAACTTGTTCAATTAAAGTTAAAACTTCAAAAGATAAATGTATGTTCCTTTATGTTATTTTCTTGAAATTTTTGTTCCAATTTTTATGTTTTATTAAACATAGTTGAATTCTTTTTTTAATAGTTCATTATTTACAAGACTGGTCTAGCCATCTCCGTCATTATGGTTTCGTTTTTATCAACAACAAAAAGAAATATGAACAAAAAAGCGTCTCTTTATGTTTTGATATTATAATATATCAACAAAAAAGTTTAAATTACCATTTGCTACTGATGAAACATGTTTCTGAAAAGGAAATATATTTCTCTTTGTTAGTATGGGGATTGTCAAATAAAGATGATCACTGCTATATTAATTTGATAATGCTTCTGCATTGTTACCTAATTAAAAAAACATGTATAATAATTAAAAAAGAAAGTTTTTTTTTATATTTGTATATTCTATAAGGTAAATTTTTTTTTTTTAAGAGAGGTAATTATTTACAATAGGTTGTTTCTGCCTTTCTTTTCTGATACCTTCTTGTGTGTTATTCAGATATGTCTAATATATAAGGTTTAGCACTGGCTATTTAATTTTTTACTTATTCTTGAATAATTTATTTAATCACAACGATCATTTTTGTAGGTCTGACAGATTTTTGAATATGATTTGTCGCTAAAATGTATTTATTTTTTCCTTTTGAGTATTATTGAATCTTTGAAAATTTAAATAGTCAGTTATTTGAATGTTTATCCACTAATAAAGTATACTATAGAATGAGAAAAGTTAATACTTACAGTGCATTAAAATTTTTGTTTGTATTTTTGTTTTTTTATAGTGCTTTATATCCTAAAATTTAAGTTTTTGTTTATTAGTTTAATGTCAAATCTGGGTTGCTACGAAACCAAACCTATAATATGACCAATGAGCTAAAAATTTACAGCAAAAAATTATTTTATAATTTTTTGCCATTATAATCTTCTGCTTTTAAATATTTTTTTTTTATTTGGTTTAATATCGTTTTGTATTTTGCAGCTTTAATTTGTTTTCCAGAAATGGTAATTGTTATAAATGACGACATAGTTGAAGGTCTTTGTAATGCAAAGTTTGAAACATGATCATCTCGTATATCTTTAAACTTACTTACCATTAATCAGAGTTTCCACTCCGCAGGCAAAACCTCGAATATACAGGGAATTTTAAAAATCACCTAAAGTAATAGGGAATTTTGAGTTTTTCCTTACCAACTGCGAAAATGCTGGGAATTTTATTTCTTGTTTTCATCTTTTAAAAAGTGTTGATCTCCCAAAGCGCATTCTATGGGATATTTAAGGATGATATTTCTGCTATACTGAACTATTTAATTTACTATAGCATTATTTGTTTTAAGTAGGTTAAGTTGTTCCTTGTTTCCTATAATATAATTTGTACAGGAAAAACACAGGGAATTTTTTTTCCAGATTTGAATGGTAACCCTGATAATATATCTGGAACACATCTTAAAATGCTTTAAATTAATTTTTAAATACAAATGTTTTTAAAAAAATTAATTATTCTTGAGCATTAGAACTCAAATGTATACCAATTTCGGTTTTACTTAGCTTTTGAAATTGCAACCTGTTGTTTGAATGAAACAAAATTAATCAAGTAATATAATGACTTTACTTCAATTTTCGTAATTTATGCCTGCAAAGTTATGAGGAAACAACACAATTGTAGCCTGTAAAAAGGAAGAATTTTTCAGTAAATTTCACAACGTTTGTAATAAACTTGACTTAATACATTCAGGATATCTGTGCACCGGGAAAGTCATGAGTTTTGGTATTTGACAAAATTTGTCATGAAATGTCATGTTTTTAACAATTTTTTAAAAAAAAACATAGAAAATCATGGATTTAGGTCGCCGAAAAATCTAATTTTTAAAATGGTATTCTTCCTCCCCCCTCCCAATTTCATGGTGTTCCGAATATCTGAATTTGTAACAAAATCCCCACTCTCAGTCATATTTTATTAAAATGTAAAATGTTTTTATCGTGTTCTTTAAAAATTATGGTGTTCTTTCAAAAAATGAAAGAAAAAGCATTTCTAGCATGAATTATCTTTTAAATTTCTGTGATTTAGGAATTTATTATTTTTATTTTGTCAATTTAAAATTCTAGCTGAAGTCATGGGCGAATTTTTTTTCTCCTGAAATGAGAACAGAAAACTCATGAGTATTTCTTTCTTTTCTGTTGAACAAGAAAAGTATCTTTAGAATATAATTCTGCGGAAAAAAGAAAGGAAAATTATTTACTTTTGTATTGTTATTTTATTGCTTCAACTATTTCTTTACTCTGTTTTTTTAAATTTAAAATCCATAAATACTTATGAAGATGCATAGTTTTGGTTTTGGTTATACCTATCATTTCAATTAACGTTATTATAATGCTTTTTTAAATTTATTGTTGTGTTTTTGTTGGAGAAAATAGTAACTTCGTCAAGTCATGAAAAATTCTTGGAATTAGTCATGGAAAGTCATGAATTTGAAAATCTAAAATGTAGCAGATACCCTGTGCATTCAATGCATAATATCAAATCTATAACATGTTTCTCTGCCATTTTCACCTGTCTCAAGTTCTAGTACATATATCCCTTTTCTTGTTGATCTACCCTCATGCAATGCTTCATATGTTTTTAGAGTTAGCTGAAATTCTATGGTTATCTTCAGTTTGTATGGTTAGAGGTAGCTGAAATTCTATGGTTATCTTCAGTTTGAGCATATTCTTTGGCTGCTGGGCCTGCATTTATTTCGAATTGTTCTATTGTGTCAATAACCCTTTGCAACCATTATATGATCTCTATTTGCAACCATGTTAAAAGTACCATTCTTTTTCTTACATAATTTAAGCAAATAATATCAACAAAATAGACAAAGTGATATTATTTTTCTAAAGTGTTTATATATGTTCATTTTATATATATACTGACCCAATTTTTGATAAAGACAAATCCTGCTTTGACTTTTCTTTTAAAATTGATTATTATATAAAAAAGTTGATTTTCATAGCTATTACAGTAATTATATTTGGTGAAATGGAATCACTGAGCTTCATAATTTTTTTTTGGGGGGTAAAATTTTTTTTTATGTTTGCACAAATATTAATAATTTGAACTAAGTACCTTCATGAATAGTTTCTCTTTATGTGCTGTTCCTATGTGTTACTCAAGATGTAGGATGTAATCATTGGTAAAATTTTCTTTTCTTATTTGAAGGAGTATTTTCTTTTTAATTATACTGGTATTTTCTTTTCTAATTTGGCTAAAATGAAATTACTAAGTTTCTCTTTATGTGTTGTTCCTATGTGTTACTCAAGATGTAGGATGTAATCATTGATACAATTTTCTTTTCTTATTTGAAGGAGTATTTTCTTTTTAATTATACTGGTATTTTCTTTTCTAATTTGGCTAAAATGAAATTACTAAATGATCTCTAAACGTCATTGATTATATATTTTGTGTTGTTAGGAGGCTCCTGCTAATCTTCAAGACTTGACTGTGGTAATGGGTCACAATTTTGAACTTCGTAGCTTAGAACGACCTCAACAATATTGTGAAAAGTGCTGTGGCATTATTTGGGGTGTGATGAAAAATTGGTATCGCTGTGTGGGTATGTATACAGTATGTTCAATATAATTAATAAGAATGTAACACTTTTATAATAAGTTAAACTAAACTCTTTCAATTATAACTTTATTTAACTAACTATAAATACTAAACAGAGTTGGTGGTGGTCAAGCATTATTAGAGACATTATGACTTAGAGACCTGAGTACCTAAAAACTTCATTTTAATTAGAAAAGTAGATCTCGATTGACTTTTTGAGTTTTCCAGGTGATAAACTGTTCAAATTATTGGTGTTTACATGCTAATCAATCACTACTTGTAGAAAAAAATTCACGCTTTTTACATGAGAATATATTTATTTTGAAAAATATGTTATGCAATGTTGTTTATTAGTTTTTTAATACAATTTATAAAAAGTAAGATTCTGAAGGACCCAATAAGCACTTGGGACCCCCCAGGCACTGCCCAGGTGTGCCCATGCGTAAAGGCGATACTGCATCAAAGTTTCATGCTTTTGGAAATTTAGGCAGAAAAAGAAGAGTGACAGTAGATATAAGTCCTTATGTCTGGTAGATTCATGTTTTGTACTTATACAGGTAATGGAGCAAAAGTTACAAACTTATAATAAACATATAGTTAAAGATTTATAAGTATAATTTTAAGATAAAATAAAGAATTATAAGTATAGTAAATTAAAAAAAAATATTGACTTATTGTAACTTAAAAAAGGGCATTACCAATTGGACAAAACTACAATTTTCTTGGCTATCCTGATCAAAAAAAGAAATTCTGGCACATTAGCTTAAAGTGTGCCATATTAAAAATATATTATTTGTGCGATATTTAAATAAAGATATTTTTACAAGATTACTAAATTTTTCGATTCTTAGAAAAAAATTTCCTGTAAATAGAGAAGGTTTGATTTCTTCTAAACTGGTAAAATCATAATGAAATGGCCCGTGACAGTAAGCATTTTTTGAGATAGTAACATTATATTGGAACTTTGAATTTAGGAAAGAAAAAAATGCTTTCTCATTATAAGAAACTGAAAAATAATACTAGGTGGGCTTTTGAAATGTTTATTTGTTTTGCATTAATCTTTTATAACTTCTGTTATGTGTGTTATAAACAAAACTGTTGGTCGTTCAAATAAATTGAACCAGCCGGAGGACATCGCTAATTTTAAGCAGAGTGCCTGGTTAACAGTAGTTTTGCTGCATGTTCAATAAAACCAATCCTTAACTTGAATTTTATACAACTATTTGAAATAAGCAATAAAGTCCCAAAGAAAGTAATAAAATCTTCTTTTATTATGTAGAAAAATAAGTGTAAATTATATCCAAGAAAAACATTCACAAAAACAATAAGATTTATTACTTCAATGCATCAGCAACCTTTGAAAAGGCGAACATTAGAAACCTATAACCACCGCGTCAACATTTCAACTGGACGGCACGAGATAAAAACACATTTGTCTGTTGAACTGAATACCTGGCGTAGGTGTTATGTCATCTGCATCGGCGATGTAGCGTCCTTTGGGTAATGGCTATAAGAATGACGTATTGAAAAATTTAACTATAAAAAGGAAACTCCATTTTTGCAACAAAAATTAACCCAAAGCAAGTTACTGAAATTTAAAAACTATATAAAAATGTTTTTCTTTTGAGAACGTTACAGAGAGTAAAAATATGCAGCATGAATAAATAAAAAGGGAAGAAATGATGTGGCCAAAATTTCAGGCCACTACAGTAATTTACAGTCGATAGCAACCTATCTGTGTTTAAAAGTTGAACTGTCATGATGTGCAGTTTATATGAAGTATTAATTTGCCACGAGTCATGTGCAACAATTTGTGATCGTTATGGATTTAATCAAAAGCAGTTGTTTACAAAAAATTATCCGAAATTATTAACCTATTTCGAATGTTTGCTCTGAAAATGTTTATTTATTTTTTATTATTATTTCTTTTTACTAAAATTTAATTTGATGGAAAAAGTTTTCAATTGAAGAAAAAATTTAAGATGTGTGGCGTAATTACTACTACGATTATTAAACATCAATTCATTAGTATATAAGACATGCTAACTCGATTCAATCTTGAGGTACCTTGTGATAGATGATGGTTGGCATTAGCGATTTCAACTCTCCCCAAATTGGAGACCTATGGACGTGATATGAACTCGCTTACCTCAAAAGTAATGCTCACTTTGATGGATGGTACACATTGATAAGTTGACTTGCTCTCCGTGACTGCATCCTTGTCACTCTCGCGCTGCTGCTTCTCGGTCTCATTTACACACAACGGGATTCTGCATACACTTGACTGCTAATAATAACTCTGGAGAGACCACACACACAATCGTGAACTTAATACCAGCTTACATCAACCACAGTGCTGATGTAAAATATCCTCAGTGGTAGACGGATCATAGGTTAGGGTCCCCTTACAGTCAGGCTAACCGTGGGAGGTTTTGGTGGTTTTCCTCTCCATGTAACGTAAATGCAGGTTAGTTCCATCAAAAAAGTCCTCCACAGAGGCAAATTTCTCCCAATACTTAATCCAGGAGATCCCTTGTCTTCTGGATAAAGCTCAAAATTCTACGGAGTTGAACATTAGTAGTCGTAAACTCAAAATTAGGTTGGTTGTTCAACGACTGTTATAGAATAAAAAATAAAATAAAAAACTCATTGAGGAATATCTATAATAATATTTTTTGTTGATTGTTTGAAGTTAACGCATTTCAATCTTGTTATTTTGGTAATTCAAAGTTTGGCTTAATCATTCTTGTGGTTACTTAATTTATTTAAAAATGATTTTTTACTAATAGAATTATATTTTTGTTGCAAAATGTTTATTTTTCAGATTGTGGTTTCAAATGTCATAGCAAATGCTTAAATCTCATAACAAGGATCTGTGCTAATACTAAAGTAAGTGATTCAAGTACTGGTACTTTATGTAACTGTCTGTAATGTAATTTTACTTGTGTGCTATTAAGTTGAACTTGTTTATAACAAGGACAGAAAACTCAAGCAATTTTGCATGTTGCATGAGAATTGCATACCTGCCAAATCTCCTGTTTGTTAATAAAGTATTTTACGACTATCTTCTGTTTACCCATATATTCTCAAATTTCCCCGTATTTGCTAAAAAAAATTATATTAAAAACATTTTTGGCGATAAAATTATCTGATGATGGCAAAAATACTTCACTTATTCATCAACAGATGGTGCTTTCGCCAGTACTACAGTTATGAGTTACAAATTTATTACTAAATTTTTAGGCATAGAGTGTTTAAATTTTTTTTTTTCCATTTGTAATTTATTGTCAGTCCCTCAAGCCTCAAAAAGCTGTGAACTTCATTGATATGTATCAGAATTCGCATTGTCTAACCACTTCCCAAATTTATAAATTGCTTCTCTAAGCATTTGAGAAATCACAGATTTCAGTTGTTACTTTTAACAATTTTTGAACTACGGAGGCACTTTCGAAGGAAAAAAATGTTCACCAACAGTCATTTTCTTCTGTTTAATTAAAGATTTTATTATACCTACTTTTTTCAGAAGTTATTAAAAATTTATTTGCCAAATCCAAATTGTGCTGTTAACTGCAAAATTTTAAAAGACTTTTTAACAATGTTCCAACCAGAATTACCAATAGGCGTATAAACATGGGTTTTATATATTAAATTTGAGTTTTACCCCACAAAACATTTACCAGGAGTAAAAATATTCCCCATAAATTGTAGTGAAAGAGTTGCTTCTCAAAATCTAAAAATAATGATGCCTTTTCAAATGGTCTTCTCTTGAAAGACTATCTTGTCATATCCTCAAATTCCGAGTTACCTGTCACACACATTTTTAACAAACTATGAAATTGTTGAAAAAAGTATGTAAAAAACTAAATTTTTTGCAATTTAATTTTTTAGACACCTTAATCTAATTAACCTGTAAATAGTGTAAAAGAGCTGAAAATTGTCAATATGAGAAAATTATTTTCTCTTCAATATGCAATCAATAATTTTAGAATGTTTATTTTGTGTAATTGCTATATTTTTAATTTAAGATTGTGGTAATCTATATTAAAACTGGCACCACTCATCAATTTTAAACTTCACTCTTAAAACTTAAAAAGAGAACTAAAATCTACAACTCACTGAAAACTATATCTAATAATATTTATAACAATGGTACCGTTTGTCAGGAATTTTATTATTATACTCATGATCTTGTTAAATCAGGGCTTTCAGGTCAATCTATTTTGTGCTGTATTTAATTTTTGTGTTGTATTAAAATACCGTGTCCCATCATTTTGTCATAAAATCTGCTTTAGCGAGTATGCCATAGTAAAATTATTCATAAAAACATAAAAAATTAGGGGAATTATAAAATAAACTATTTATTTTATAAATTATCTCACTTATGTGATAATGTTTTTAAAGATCTTTGGGACGCTTTTAGTACAATATCTTTCTGGGTTATTGCATATTTTTATCCGCAATTGTATTTTTACTGCGTTGATTTTAGCCTATAAATTCATTTTTTTATATATAAAATGATGTATAGAAGTATAACTTCATTAAACCCTTTTCTTCAAATTATAAAAATTACCCTAATGATAAATGAATAATTTCATATTATTTTTCTATGATTGTTTATCAACAAAATCTTTTATTTGTCCATTAGTGGTTAGTTAATTGTAATTTGTTGGAAAAATTATTTTCCATATGTTTCATTCTAACTTTGTATTCTTCAACCACATTCATTTTACATATTAGGTTCTAGAAAATGGCATTTATGAACTGTGTCCTTGTCCAGAATCGGGACTATCTCAACAAAAATTTAGATGTGCGGAATGCAAGAAAAAATTTATATTTAGTAAGTATATTCTAAATATTACTTTTATCTTACAAAAACAGACCAATGTCAAGGGTCTGTTTAGAAGAAATTTGGGTCCGTTAACAGACCCTTCACAAAATATCTTTTCATAATAAATTAAATTAAAAATTTTAGAAAATAATTCATGTTTTAATCGGACCCATCACAAATTTGCGTATCTTCATTATTGTTTTGTTAATCGAATAAACTTTTACCGGGGGGGAGGGGGAGAAAGACGGTTCGAAACAAACTAAGTTTCCCTAAGTTTAAATTCCAGATGTTGTATTATAAGAAAATATTTCTACTTTTACAAACATCGTGTGCACATTCTTATTAATATTAAGCCATAATTGTTTTTTTGTAAATAAATAATTGATCAATTTATACTTATTCATAACATTAATTAATACAATATTATGTAAATAAAAATTAATTTCTGGCAATTTTTTAAATAAAATATTATAAATTTAAGAATTGTTTAAGTTAACATAATGAATAACACATTAAAAGTGGTACATTACTAAGTTGTGTTATTTAAAATATGTCAATGGAAATTATTAAAAATGTGAGTGATTTTGTTTCCATTATTCGTCCAAAATGTATATTTTCTGTTGAGCAGTATAGGCTAAATACCAAATATTTGTATGTTGCATCTCTAATTTAGTAGCAGCAATTGTTGAACAGAATCTTGTATCCATTTACAATTTAAAAACTTCTTGAAAAGGTTTTTAGCAATTGTTACAATAACAGGACCCTATTTGNATTTTCTGTTGAGCAGTATAGGCTAAATACCAAATATTTGTATGTTGCATCTCTAATTTAGTAGCAGCAATTGTTGAACAGAATCTTGTATCCATTTACAATTAAAAAACTTCTTGAAAAGGTTTTTAGCAATTGTTACAATATCAGGACCCTATTTGCATAAATTCACAAAAGCAGGACCCTGCTTGAAAGAATGTGACTTAATGCTTATTTTATATTCACAAATTATGAATAGTTTTTTCACAATTTTACAGAAACAGAGCCTTTAACAAAATGTCTGGACAGACCCCCGAATGTTTTATTTTAAAATGTTTGTTTTGAATGATTTATTTTAATTTGAATCAATGATTTTATATTTTAAAAAAAGTGGGTTATTTAATGCAACTTTGTTTTAAGATTGTCTTATTTCTTGTATGTAAAAGAATCATTTTATTTTAGAAAATGATGCCTGTTTACCCAGACAATGTGATTACAATGGCCTCTATTACTGTTCAAGGTGTCATTGGAATAGTATTTCTGTTATTCCTGCCAGAGTTATTCACAACTGGGATTTCACACCAAAGAAGGTACTCATTTTTAGTATTAACACTGAATTAGATCTGTCTTATAATGTTCTCTGTCTACTCATTCGATAGTTTTTAGGTGCTATAGAAAAAAAAACTATTAAAGCATAGCTGCCAACTCTAATGGATTTTACCATTTTCTACTGGTTTAATTAAAATTCTCCTGGTTTTTGTATATTTTAGGAAATTCCCTAAAAGAATCCCTATTATATAGAATTTTTGTACAGATTATTGCTTGCTTGAATATTTAAATAAGTATTACTATTATATGATGAAGCTAACCTTATTTATAGAAATCAGTTCAAAACTTTTTTTGTTCTAAAATTTTCAGTTTATTTTTATTCATAACTCTCTTTTTAAAATAATTAAAAAAATCTTTTAACTATCTTTGATGAATTAAATGCCTATTAATATTCGAAATTATGAGTAAAGGTAATACATAGCATTTCAAGTATGTTTAATGTCAATCATAACTGGGAAATGTTGCAGTTATTCTATTTTGATGACTAGAAAAATCCCTGTGTGTAAAATATTTAGTACATTATGCAACAATTATCATAAAATTTACATTTTTTAAAATCTACTGGAGTTTTTCCTATCCATGTTGGCAGCTATGTTTAAGCCAGTGATACTTAATTAAATTTAATAATAAGTACTATTGTAACAATAGGTACCAACTAATTTAATGTGGGTGCTGTGATAATTTTTTTTACTGCCCATGAAACAGAGTAGTATCTAACATAGTTTTTTCTTTGGCATGTTATTACTTAAGTTTGAAAACTTTTTCTTTTCTTCACTTTTGAAATTATCAAATCCTCTATTAAACTCTTTCCTCATACAGGAATAGAAATTAAATTCACAGGGCTAATTTGAAATATTTTGGTCTAAGCTCCAATACGAAACATGAGAAGCGAGTAAGGCTTTCCAATTTTGTCTTATTAGATTTTTGATATAAAGTTTTGTGGAATGCAAAGAGGTAGAAGTGTTTGGCTTTTGAATTACTTGGCCAACATATCTGCTTGTTTGTTACTGTAAATATCGCACTGTCCTGGAATCCATTGGAATGCGATTTGTCGTCCTTAGTCCTCAACTTCTCCAGAAGAACCTGACAATCTAGGACATTTTTAGAGATGGATTTATGTGAAGCGTTTAAATAATGAAAAATTGGGCTTCAAGGAAGTTCATATCTGTTTGAAGCTTCAGAGCTGTGTATGCCCACAATGCTACAGAGTCGCTCATATTCTTCCTTTATACATATATGTGGAACTTATTTTCCGAACATAATCATTGTTTTCATGAATACTTCATCATACAATTAAATTGGAATAAATATCTTAATCCGATTAAGATTTTCAGTTTTGAATTTTTTATTTTATTTTTCTCTTCATTGTGCTGATTTAATAGTATTCGAATGAATGATATTTTCTACACTACGGTGCTCTGCAAATTCTTTACTGCCTGTACTTCCATGTTTCTGTTTCCTATGTATTTTGAAGCCATTTGGCTCACAATGTGGCTCACAATGTTTTGAGACTCTCTTGAGTAGTATTTCTTATATTAGTTACCTGATTTATTATTTGTGTTTTTAAAAAAAAGAAAAGCTTTAAGAATCATCATTTGAAGACCTATCCTTTCAAGACGTAAGAATTGTCATTTGAAAGAAGAAGAAAGAGAGTGATTATAAAACACTTCTTACAATGTCAACAATATAACAACTTTGAAATTTAAACCTAAATAATAATTTACAAAATGAACTTATTCTCACTGCTCAAACAATATGCTAACATTAACGTATGATGGATCATGGCTTGCAATAAGAACTAACAATAATAAACAAGTGAAAAGTGGCCAACACGGGACTAGCAAAAAAGCAAGCTCTTTCTAAATCTGGAAACCATGTTACCTTTCTAACAATACATTTATAAATAACTAAAAACAAATTTCACCTTAAACTCACCAGAATTAAATAACATCATTAATACCTTATCTTATGAAATACAGCAGATTTCAGCTTAGAAATTATATAAATTTCTTTTATTGAAAACAAAATTATAAATTTGAAACTATCACCTATCAGAATAAGCTGTAGTAAGCAGCTGTATACTTTCTAACCGGAAGTAGAGCTGTGTTGTTTACATTTATATTAAAAATGCCATCCATAAAATCTATTAATAAAATATTTTTTTAAAAATCAATGTTGTTAGCAACTCTGATTAAAGTTCTTCCATAAGTTAATGAATTTTGCTGAGCTATTTTAATGAATATTACATGTAATTATTAATTTATATGAATTGCTGTTTGTAGGTTTGCCGTGCTTCTCTTCAGTTCCTAAGGCTCATGATTAAGAAACCTATATTAAATATTGAATCTCTAAATCCGACATTATTTGCCTTTATTACAGAATTGGGAAACATAAAGGTACATTTCTCTGTTAAATTATGTAATCTTGTGAGATATAATATCCAACGAGCAATCTGGTTAGAATTTATATTATTTTTAGTATGTTTTATCTTTTTATATATAAAAATCTAATGATAGTGTCACAGTTTTCCATTGTTTGCAATACATTTTTATTGGCTGGAAAATCACATGGTAGGATCCAGTTTCCCCACATTAATTTTCATATTGGTTTGGTTGTCATCAGCATAAAATTTATATCAGTCATTAAAGTAATTGTTTTCTTATAAATATTTTTGTTTCTCTAATTTAAGGGTTAAAATTACCTGTACTGTTATCATTATGTTTTTGATTTTGATTGATTTCTAAATTAAGAGTTTAGGAAGATCTTTTTTATTGTTATTATTGTGAGAATATTGTAATTCTACGTTACATTTTAGGATAAAGTTGTTAAAATCAGTGTCTGATCTTATTAACCGTTTTAAAATTATTATTTTTTGGTTCAAAATACATTAATATACTATTATAAATTACGGTTAAAGGGATTCGTTAAATGTTTTAGAACTTAACTTTCAGCTTGATGCACAAAGCGATGAATGCAAAAATTTTATTTAAAATATATCCGTTCGTTTGGTACGCAAAAGTATTAAATTACAGTTGTGAACTCACAAATTTGTTATAGCAATACACTTTTAATTTTGAATCTTATTCCAAAAACTGATTACTTAGAAAAAATGATTTATGTTCACTAATAGAGCTTAATAGTATCATAAGGGAAATATTTGGACGTGGGAAGTAGTGGGACAAGTGTTCTTTTCAATGCATATATTTTTAGTTCAATAATTTCAACTGAAACAGCAATTATTGTGAAGCAATCATCTGGGTTGGTGAACGTCAGTGAGCAGGGGGTTTAGCCCCTGAATTCTTTTAAAAATTACATTTTTGAAAGAATGCTATTATTTTGAGCACTAAGCAAGTTGGTGTCAAATTTTCAACTCAACAATGGATCAGCATGAAATAAAACCTGTTTCTTGGGAAGTTATAAAAAATACTCTGGATCAAATGCATGATATCATTTGAACAAAAATTTAGGTAATTCTCAGGCTAAAAATTTTTTAAAATGCCCAACTGATCTCTATATGTAACTGGATTGCTGATTCAATTAGAGTGGAAGCAGAGGTTACCGCTATTGCTCTTTTTTTGGCTCCATGGTGTTGTATTACCACGCTAATTTTAAGTTAATAATCAATTGTTTATCATGTATATCTTTACTTAAACTATATGCTTGATGATCAACCCCTTTCAGAAAAGAAAAACTTTTCTTAGGAAAACTAGATGAACATAATTTTGTATATTAAATATAAGGGCGTATAAATAATTCTTCCAAAAAAACTGAAGCAGTAAGATATTACCTGAAAGAAAACTTCATATATTTTTGGGCGTATGAAGTTTTCTGTCGGGTAATATTAAGACATAGAACTAAAATTATTTATAAATTTTTTAAATATAGTTAGAAAATTTATTTTGACTAAAACATTAATTGCTTCAATTTAATATTATTTGCTTTAAAGCTGATAAGTTTCAATCAAATATGCATAATATATATAATATATATGCATAATATATATGCATATATATATATTTATATTAAATGTTTAATTTATGAATAAAAATAAATGAAATATTTTAAATTTAATGTCTAAGGTACTGTGCAATTATTTAAAACAATTTTGTTGGATTTAAAAGTTTTCTCGGATTTATAAATTACATTGCCAAAGTTCAGATAGAGAAAAAAAAACTATGAAATCACCTGTTAGTACCTAGCGTCCTTTAAAAAAGAAAATATATTTTTTTTTAAAAGTAGAAAGTGTGAGTGAAAATGTTTCATTATTTGCATTTATTGTGAACCATTGTAATAATAAAAATATTTATATCTAGATCTGAAGTCAAAGAAAAATAGAACAATGCCTTTTTAAAACTGGAGTGGTAGGAAACTTAAGGAAATATCCGCTTGGTTTATTCATATATTCTCTACCACTTTTTATTTAAAGGCGCTTTTTACATTATTTCAATATTTGTAGTCGAGCATTAATGGAGTAAAAAGAGAAATTCTATTGAGTTGTAGATAAACAACAATAGTAAAAATTGAGTTCTGTAGTGTATCGTATTACATGATCATAGCTTCCAACTCTACAGGATTTTCCAGTAGACAACTGGATTTTGCCAGTTTCTCCTTGTCTTCTGGTTTAATAAAAATTTCCCTGGTTCTTGTACATTTTAGAAAATTCTCTAAAAATGATTGAGTTTCCTTAAAAAATCCCTATTGAAATAAAATTTTTGCACAGATTATTGCTTACTGGAGTATTTAAATTACTGTTTACTAATAATGAAATGAGCCTCATTTATAAAAATCAGTTTACTATCTTTGATGAATGAAATGCCTATTGCTATTCAAAATTACGAGTAAACATAATACATAACATTTCAAGTTCATTTAATGTTGATCATTACTGGAAAGTATTGCAGTTTTTCTATTTTGAGAACTAAAAAAATCTCGAAAATTTCCTATGTGTAATATATTTAGTTATTGTTTTGTAAAATTTGCCAGATATTTTTCTATCCATTTTGGCTGCTGTGCATGGTGTATACACGCAGTATTTTATTACTTCTATAATTATATTTTTAATTATGATTTTGTTTAATTAATTTATATTGCGCAAAAATAAGGTAATTGTTGTGTAACTGTTTTAATAATATCCCTTTTTACTAAACATTAATATGTATATCATGTCTAAAAAATTCAATACATTTTGCATTACAACAACAACAACACAATTTTAAGCAGAACATTACATAATTTAGCGGTGCAGCCTAAAAATTGTTCCGTTTTCTTCTGTTCAATACCCTAGAGCAGTGTTCCCCAACCTTTTTATCCTGGCGGACCTGTCAACGTTTGATAATTTTATCGCAACCCGCTGGGGGGGGGGGGGGGNAACTTACAAGAACGTTAAATCAATTGATTTTTTTTCCATTAAAACTAATTGAATGAGAAAATATTTGCGGTGGCTTTTTTTTTAAAACTTTTTAAAACATTAAAAAATCTATGTCACTACCTAAAAATCCATGGTCCCCTTTTTTTAAATAAATAAAATTTTAATGGAACACAAATATTTTTAATTTGGGGTATAAACCTAGGAATTTAAATTCGGTTTCAATGAGATGAGCGGCCCGGTACCATTTGATCCACGGACCGGTACCGGTCCGTGGACCGGGGGTTGGGGAACACTGCCCTAGAGAATGCACCTGGCATGACAATGACAGAGGAAAATAAGTCAAATTGTATGTCTTTTATTAAATAAGCTATAATTTCCTTTAAGAGTGCAAATATTCGGATATCTACTGAAAAATTAACCTGGAAAGCGGCTCTATATATATTTAGAAGAGTTTGGTTATTTTAAAACAGTTTTATAAGAATACGGGTAATCCCATAGACTTTAATTCTAAAAAAAGTAAAAGCTAAGTCTTAATATAGGTTGACTGAATAAAAATTGCAGTATTCTTTTTGCACGTTTAGATTGTTCTCTACCTGCAATCTTGTTATGTGGTGTGTAGCGTTTTTAAAGAGTGCTTAATTTCAATTTTCGTTTTTTAAAAGCCCTTAAAGGTGCTTTTCTCATTGGAGGTTTTCGGAAATGAGATTTTTTTTCTTTACCATGTCGATTTTAGCCAAGTATTATGCGAAAACGTGGTTTTCACATTGCTCTATTCAACGTTTTCACAATGCATTCAATCACTATCCATTTCGGCGCACTGTCAGTGTGTAGTATGTGATAGTGCCAACCATGTTACATGTTTGATGAAATACTTGGGGGTCCACGTATGCGTCTATTGAGTTGGGTTCGGTGAGATTCTAGCATGCTCATGTGCTGCAAAATGCAACTCTGCTGCATTTTGTAAGATATTCTCAAATTCAGGCTTCATTTTCCACCCTCTAAAATTGAAGTGAAAAATCTTTCAATCTTTTTCATGTGCGCTACTCTTCAGTCCTGAGGACTGAAATCAGTCTTGAGAAAAGATCAGTGAGATGAAATCAAACCTCCAATTAATATTTATTTCCATTTAGTTTTGTAAATTACGTAAAAATTGTATTTTCTTTTTTGCTTAAAAAAAATTTTGACTATTGATTTAAAAAAAGAAAATGGAATTTATAGAAATAAAAAATTTAAGGTAAATAAATAAAAGGATAAAATTTGATGATGGTGAAGTGAGAAATAAGTAAAGATATGAATAGAGATTGGTGTAAAAAAATATAAGGTTAGCTGTTATTTTTGTTTTGTTTGTCTTATAAAAGTGAAATAAAGAGAATAATTGTACCTTTTTAGAAAAAGTAATCAAGTTATTGATATAATATCGCTCATGGGCTGCAGTAGTGGCGCAACTCAAACACACGTTTTGGACTGAGAACAGGTGTAAATATGAAAATACACATTCTTTCAGCAGCAATGCTAGTACAACTCATAATTCAACTTGAAGGTAATCTTCGTTTAAGCAAACTAAACCATTTCTTATGCATTTTCCTTAGCAATGAAAACTTTAAACCCACTTATCTCACTAACATCATTTTTTGAGTTGTGCGGTTGTTGCAACCCATGAGCGATATATGGATCATTCTCGTTTAAAGTGATTTATAAATTTTTGCTAAATAAGATAGATCATGTTAAGCAGTCAAAAAATGAGTTCAGTCTTGAAATTTTTTTAGAGTGGCACCCATGATTAATATGATATTGATTAGGTTGAAAAGATCTAAACATGAAATCTATCGATACTAATATTGGTAATATTTACTTACCAGAAGAATTGGGCATCTAACTAGGGACATAGGATAGGAAAAAAGTTGAATATGAATTAAACAGGGAAGCCTTATTTATAAATAAAAAATAATTAAGTATAAGCTTTTTATAACCTGTTTCTATTCATTTTAATGCATTGTTTTGATAGATTTCATTTTAGAAAAGTACTCA